CTTACCTTGCGTACAACACTTTACTGAACTGTCACGACGGTCGAAAACGGCCCGTCATCGCTTAAAAATCAACTTTTCCAATTTAGCTCTCGACCTTCTCTCTCCTCGGCTGATTTTAGATATTTATTTTGATTTTCTCTCTCTTCAAAATGACCTGATTTCAGCTTTAAAATACTCAGATCGTCCTGGCCGATCGCACGATCGTCCTGGACGATCAGACCAATTTCACATCGTCTTGGGACGATTTCGCAGGACGATTCAGGACGATAATTAATTCTGAAAAAGTCCTGCTCTCTGTCTTTTGCATTGAACTGATCGGCCTGGGACGATGCCCCCTATCGGCCTGGCCGATCCTGGGAGAAAAATCACCTAGAGCAATCTGGGCAATTTCTGGAGCAAATTTCAACTGATCGTCCCAGGACGATCCCAGATCGTCCTGGACGATCCTGGAGCAGAAACAAAACTTCACACGGAGTTACGCTAAACCACCATTTGACGCTGGAGTTCCCCTTGACCACCACCTGACACCCAAAGTTCCCCCCAGCCACCACATGATGCCCGGAGTTCAACCATAACACCACATGATGCTCGGAGTTCCACCGAACCACCACCTGACGCTAATGTTCTGTTGGACAACCACGTAACGCTCGAAGTTCCGCCAGACCACCACCTGACGCCAGATTTCCCCTAGACCGCCACCAGACGTCCAGAGTTCCACCAGACCACCAGCTGACACTGGTGTTCTACTAGACCACCACCTGACACTCGGAGTTCCCCTTGACCACCACCTGACACCCGGAGTTTTACCAAAACACAACCTGATGCCCAGAGTTTTTTCAGACCAACACATGATGTTGGAGTTCCGCATACCACCACCTGAAGTCCGGAGTTCTGTCGGACCACCACCTGATACCCGGAGTCCCATTAGACCACCTCCTTACTAAAAAGATCTTTCTAAGCCCTATCACTTGACGACTATGATCCTTCCAACCTTCGTTGTCTATTATGATCATTCTGACCTCCACCGCCATATAACGGTCTTTCTAGCTCTTATCTCTTGTCGACTACTGTCCTTCTGACATCCTTCATCTACTACGGTCCTTCAAACCTCCACCGCTATACAACATTCTTTTTTACCCCTGTCCTATGTCGACTACGATCCTTCCGGCCTCCATTGTCTACTACGGTCCTTCTAACCTCCGACGCTAGACAATGGTCTTTTTTTACCCTTGTCTCCTATCAACTACAACTCTTTTGACCCTGTCACATACTACGGTCCTTTTGACTTCCTTCGTTAGACAATTGTCTTTCTAACACCTGTCTCCTAACAACTGCGGTCCTTCCAACCTTCGTTGCATGCCAACTAAACGAACATATCAATACTGATTCTTCTAATTTATAACATGTAATGCATTATATGTGATGTATATCTGTTATATCAAGCCAATGCCCTCCCTCCAATGAAGGGCCTCATTTTGTAATCGACTGCAAATAATAGTGTATTCATTCAAACTGGGCCAGATCTTGTGATTTTTCACCATTTTTAGGGGTTTCCACGTAAAATCTCTAGTGTCTCTTATGAACGTCACGCCCTCTCTTTCATTCGATTGTATGTTTGATCTTCGTACAAAGCTGATAAGTTAAATGTCATATTTCTCTACTTCCGCGAATATTCCAGGATGTAATAATAACAATTAGAGCAGAATACTATAAAGCTATAAGGAGGGTAAGTTTAATTATTTCCCTCGAAAGAAAATTCATTATAAAGAAAGCTATAAAGTGCATCTCTTATAAAATCACAAATGGCATGGATAAAACTAGGTTGACTTAAGTCCTTCATAAGTATCAAAATAGCATAGGTCAATCAAGCAGAACTTGAAGGATGTATTGAATATGAAATATGTGAAATGTTTTAATGAGACTATGGTTGAGGGGAAGTTGTGCAAGCATCTTCAATTTGTCCACCTCATATTATTATTAAATTTATGGCTAGTGAGTTCCATTATGTCTTTATTAGCTAGCCTCCTCCAAAATTTAAAAGATTGCAGTATGTTATTTCTCCATCCAGTGTATTCGATCCTTCGTGGTTGAATCTCAAGGGCCTACTCTTTCCTGATTATGACGTCCTTGGTTATCATATAGATTCATAGGTTCTCGGGCTTTGGAACAAAAATCCACTAAAACTGGTATGACTCCTATCAATCAATCATTTTCTACATTAAGCACTCCACAACAATTATTTCTTTCGACTAGCTCAAACACAATCACTCAAACAATAACACATATTTCATTTTAGGCAAAATAATACCTAACATATTTCACAACAAAAAGCTCCACCGAGTTTAAAACTTCTATTTTTCTCAACAGTCAATGGTTAAAATTTTGAGCTATAAAACCTAAGCCAATGCTATAGATCATATTTTACACAAAAAAAAGAAAAAAAAAAAAATCAAAACATTGCTTACCTTAATAGTTGGCGGAAATCTTTCCTCTTACGCGGCCGAATGTGTGAGCCGAACAACAGATACAGGAAAATAGGATTCTCGATCCATTTTAAAAAAAAAATTAAGAGGGCTAGCGCTCGTTCAACCGGCAACTATGCCTAGTTTTAATTTTTTTTTAAAGTGCTTAATCTCTTAGTTACGTCGCTAATCAAACTTTGTCTAAAAATTTTTCCACCATACAATCCTTCAATACATAAAAGATAATAAAAGGAGGTAGGAGTAAGGAGCTTCTATGATAAAAATATTGTGTAATTGTTGAATAAGTTATTGTACTCTCATTTGTAAAAAAATCGAATTATTTTGGCTGAAATAAAAATTTGCTTTTTTTTAAAAAATAAAGTATGAGCATATTTTTTTTAATTTGACATATAAAATCATATATATATATATTAAGAATAATAAATAATAAAATAATTTAAATGAACCAGGGCGGAACCAAAAAGATAAAAGAAAATCGGTATCAGGCTATCAGCACATTATCTGTTAAAATAAACGTTGTACGATCTATCCCCTATCTAAACTAGTCCAAAACCCCCCGCCAATCTGTTAACCCCAATCCCTTCCAGCTGCGCACTGGATGAGCCATGGCGAACGTCTTCACCATGAGATCCGCAATCCAGCACCCTTTGCTCTCCTCGTCGGCCAACTTCAGGCCTTCTCACCCGACTCTGTCTATAAGGTCGCAGCCGGCCCGACCTCGCCGCAGGAATGCCGCGGCCATCAGAAATGCCCTAGTCATTGAGCAGGAGGTCGATGCAAAAGTCTCCCTTGTGAGAATCGGCACCAGGGGGAGGTGAGCTCTGCTGATTCATCTTTTATTTTCTATTGTAAAGCTCATTCGTCTCATTTGTCCATCATGTAATAGTTCAGGTTGCATTGTCCTCGGCCTTCCAATGAGAAAACGGTGGTTTGAATCTCTTAAAAAAAAAAAAAAATTCATGTAATGTTGATTAGTGTTGCGTAGAAAAGTCTCGTTACAATTCACTATTATGAGTCTTATGACCAGTTGTACTGGTATTTATGGACGGAATTCAACAATAGAAATGGGCATGTGTTCTTTGAAATGTCTTTGTGCATTTTGACAGGTCAAAATGTAGATTTTTTTTCGCTCACATTGTTGTCTGCTTTTCTATTACAGCTTTAGTTTGTTCATGCCTTCTGGCTCTAGTTTTGGTTTTTATTATCTATTTTTTATCGTCATGGTTCTCTTAAGTTTGATTTCCTTCAGTATCCTCAGTTCTCTTCTATAATATTTGTCCTTCTTTATGCAACTTTCCTTCTTGTGTTTGCTTAGAATTTTGTTTGGTCTTGATAGAGGAAATTTTTTATATATATTTATTGACTGATTATAAGAATCTATATATAAGCATACATGATGAATACTAAAAATGAAAATAATAAAGAGGAGGATACCCTCAATTATGAGGATATGAGAACATATCTTTGTAACATGTGATTCTTCTAACATAGCACTTTCTAATCTAGAAAATTTCTAGTATAATACTTCTCCTCAAGGTGGAGCACAATATCAATGGGTTCCATTTTATTAAAAAAAAAAGTAGAGGGCCCAAAGCTTTGGTAAAGATATCAATTAAGTGATGGTCTTTCTTTGAGAGAATTGCGTCCTGATGAAGTGATAATCTACTTTAATGTGCTTGATTCTTTCATAGATAGAATTGTTTGTAATGTTGATAGATGTCTGATTGTCACAGTTTAGGAGCTGTGTTACAAGAAAACTATATTCTTGTATTTGAGTTTTAATTCATTATTTTGTAGATAGAATGAGCCATAACCTTGTATTCAGCTTGATCAATGGACTTTGCTACAACAATTTGCTTCTTACTTTTCAAGACACGAGTTTTCCAATAAGAAGGCAGAAGATGTTGAAGTGGATTTTTGATGCTCAATAGATTTGACATAGTGGGCAACACAAAAAGCTTCAATCTTTAAATATGTATGTTTTTGGATGGGTTAGACATTTTCTTGGATATTTTTTAAGTTATCTTAGCATCCTTAGGATAACATGTCAGTGTTTTAGTTGTGTTTTACACAATGACACTACATCCATTATGACATTACATAAAAAAAAAGTTATTTATTTGAAATCTTCCATGTTGTTCGATTACCAAAAAGTTATTATATGCATGTAACCATGCAAGTACTTGTTTTCTTTAAGAGCAAAGCCCACTTAACTGCCCCAAATTTTATGCAAATGAAGCATAATTTTGATTTATGGTTCCTTGTTAATCTCTTTAAATTAAGAAAAAAAAAGTTGTTTTAACATGCCAAACGGAATTATGAATTTACTGAAAATGTACTGCAAAAATTCTTATTAATCTTCTGTTTTCTGATTATAGTCATCTTAACTTCTAATTATGCTAAAATTAAGTTTCATTTTATTTCCCCGCAAGAAAATAATTTTCATGTAATCCCTTGTTCATCTGTTATTTACTTAGTTTTTTGGAATTATTCTTTGTAAATTAATTTTCTTGTGCTTGCTTAAATAGTTTCTTTTTGATCTCTGTGTAGGACAGTCCATTAGCGCTTGCCCAAGCTTTTGAGACTCGAGACAAACTTATGGCAACACACTCGGAGCTAGCTGAAGAGGGAGCTATAGAAATAATAATAATTAAAACCACAGGTGATAAAATCCTTGATCAACCACTAGCTGACATAGGTGGTAAAGGTTTATTCACAAAAGAGATAGACGAGGCCCTTTTGGAGGGTAAGATTGACATAGCTGTACATTCGATGAAGGACGTTCCAACTTATCTTCCTGATGGGATGATATTACCATGCAACCTTCCTCGAGAAGATGTAAGAGATGCGTTTATATCTCTGACTGCAAAATCACTTGCGGACCTTCAACCTGGAAGTGTTGTTGGAAGTGCTTCTCTAAGGAGACAATCTCAAATTCTCTACAGATATCCAAACCTCAAAGTAAGTCGGGCACTAGATGGTTGCAATTAAAATTGTGTATCATTTGGTAACAAATTTTTAGAAATATTACACTTTGTGCCCATAAATGGATAGATGCTAGCAGAGGCAGTTTTTTCATTCTCTTACTTTGATCTTAATAATGTGCCATGACTTAAGCATGCAATTGGTGCTATTGTTTGACCTTCCATGAATACATGCCATTCTTTTTGAGAAAAAAAAAACGATTAAATCTCAAAATTATCCCTTGATTATTTGTGTGTGATCATTTTAGCCCCAATGCATCACATGTTTAGCTCTGATATATCACATTTATCCAATATAATCCCCCGATTATGCAATATTAATACAAAATGGTCCCTTTTATAAAAATTGTGATAAAATTGATCTCAATTTAGTTTCATGACTATTTGGTTTTAATTTTATAAAGTTGACAGATTAATTTGGAGAAATATGATGCTTTGAACGCTCATTTGCAGGAAGATATACTTTCTCTTGTATCAAAGAAAAAATGCAATATTTTTTGTTTTGTGTAAGATAATAGAATTTAACTTAGACATACAATAGGTGCTTAAAAAGGGAATCGCAATTCTTGGTAAATTAGATTTCAAGTCAGCGTCAATGGGTTTAGCGCAAAATTTGGTGAATTTCAACTGATTTGTTCAGATGCTTTTAAATAGCTAGCTATGTTAGTACTGAAACAATTATAGGTTTTAACGGAGAATCCAGTGCGCACATAGACAGGCATAGCATTTTAAAATTCAAACATGAGAATGCATTGGACAAAAAAAGGTTGGGAATTAATGTCACTTTGGCAGATAACTGTAAAATATTTTTTCAAAGTTCATGAATTGGTGGTGAAATAGGAAAGTTCCTTTAGTGTTAATATGGAACATGCAAACTTGAAATTGGAGGTGTTCTTAATTTGGGTGAGTTTTATGGAGTGACAAAATCAAAACAAACCATCATTTGGCCACATACAATTGTAGCTTGCCTTATGTTAATCTTTTTTTTTGTAAGTTTGAAGTGAGGCTAGGAATAGTGGTTTCATCTATGCACTTCGTTGCATGAAACTAGTTAAGCTAATTATATATTTCTCATTTAGCTGTTGTAAATGATTAGCAATTTTTACAGAATCCCTATGATCTTCATATTGTGATACTTGGTTTCAGTAAAAAAATTAACTTATATATGCCAACATATTCCTATTTTTCTGACTATGTAATGGGTTGAGTTTTTCACTTCTCGTTGAAATGCACTCTGTTTAAGGCTAATCACATACTTGAACATCAGAAAGTGTGCCCATTAAGTAGTTTATATTGCGAACTATACCCTTGTCTGTTTTCAGTGTTTCTATGGCCTGTCAATCTTTCAAACTTAGGTTTAGAAAGAAAGAAGAATTAAAGGTTATGAATTCCTGTAGAAGGCAGTTAACAACCATCCTTAGAGGTATACCCTTACCATTGAATGTTTACATGACAAGTAGATGAGTTAACGCCTTCATTTATGTATTTTTGGTGTAGCTTGTTAAAGCCCATGAGAAATATGGGTAAATTACCACGTTATTAAAACTCTAATGCATCGTTTGGGACAGCTTTTTAATTGCTTTTTAAAACAGCTTTTTAGTTTAAAAATTAAAATTTGTATACTAGAAAGCTTCTTTAAGAAGCAATAAGAAAGCCGTTCCAAACGAAGCCTAAGTCCCTTGTTCGCTTGATAAATGTAGAGTTATACCTCAGTTTGGATAGTTCTAGGAAGCTTAGATCCTATAAATTATCCAGGACATCCGTGATATTACGCATCTCATTTTACCATTATGTACTTATTTTATCTCTCTGCGTGGCAGTAAGTTTACTTACAGTTTTGACGTTCTTGTTTATTGTTGCTTCCATATGAATTGCATCAATGTGAATTGCGTTTAGTGTTATTCAGGTTGTTAATTTCCGTGGCAATGTTCAAACAAGGTTGAGGAAACTTGATGAAGGGGAGGTTCAAGCAACATTATTGGCATTGGCAGGTCTCAAACGGTTAAATATGACCGAGAATGTCACAGAAATATTATCTATAGAAGAAATGCTCCCAGCAATCGCTCAAGGCGCTATTGGGATAGCTTGTAGAAGCAATGATGATACGATGGTACATTCCACAAAACTAACATTTCTTTCAATCAAACTAATAATTACTTAATTAGGAATAAGTATTCCACTTAGGTTTAACTAACTCTACATTTATGCAAGATCTACAAATCCCTCTTCCGTATCAACATTATAGAAGCCTCCTTAGTTGCTGGATATTACATTATTAAATTTAAGTCAATTTGAAGTGATAATTACAGTGTTATTTCATGCGATTACAGTTCAGATAGGTTTGGGTACCGTATAAGTTGATTTTTTATCACCTATATTTGGAAGTAAAATGACGAATAGTTGAAAGTAAAATGATCTTGTGTTTTATCAGTATTTTCTTTGATTGCTGATAGCTAGTATTACTTCATAATAATTGGATATAAAACTTCTAAAGCTACTTGAAGAAACAAGTTGTTTCCAAGCTTTCTGTTAACTTGGTATTATGGAACCCATTTGTAAGTTAAGATTATCTACTAGATACATGCTATTATTTTGCATAAAATTGCATGTTTCTTCTAGGATAGGCATCACTGTTTCATAATCATAGGCATGTTGCAGTTTAGTTGCTGTGCGCAATAAATTTATTTTGTCCATAGTAGTTAAAAATCAAGCTAAAAGATTTGATTATAAAGTGATATTAGTGAAATTTTTCTTATTTTTTTCTTGGGAACTAGCTATCACTTCATTGATGTTTCTTTTAAGGGTAAATTGCAAATAGGTTTCTAAGATTTAGGTTACTTCATATAGATTAATGAAGTGAAGTTAAAGTTATAATTTGTGATTATTTATATAATAGACTTTATACTAAAGAAGAAGAAAAAGAGAATATAATATATAGAATGACTAAGGTAAAAGATAATATATTTAGGAATTTTGATCAAATTAGATGAATTATAAGTGAATATAATAGAATTTTGGTTAAATATAAAAACATCAAGGAAAGTTGAAAATGTTGCTTTGAGAAATTAATAAATAAGAGACTAAATGGAAAAATTATTTTGAAAAAACATAATGAATAATAGGGAAAATGATCAAAATGGTCCATTGACTTTTATGAAAGACTAAAATGATTCTCAATTATATTAAAGGACCATTTTGACCTCTCAACTCATTAAGGGGAATCAAAATAGTTCCACCATGGGACTATTTTGGTTCCTTTTTAGGACTTGATGGACAAAAATAGTTCTTTAATATAGTGGGGGTCCCATTTTGGTCATTTTTCTCATGAATAATATAACAAAATCCATTATACTTTGATTAAAAAAAGGAACTAGCTCTGAAAAAGTAAAACTTTATGTCTAGATGAGATATATATCAAAATTTGAAGAGTTATGAGAGATATTTTATTGATTTAATTAGTACATCTTTTCAATATAATTTAAAGACTAAGAAGATGTTAAATGATTTGAGAAGAAGCATTTTGACACTAATATTTAAGAATATATGTGATGTTTAAAATTATGCTAATGGTAAATGAATCAAATTTATGAGTCATGGAATGAAATTATGAGAGTGAATAATAGGAAAAAAAAGAGCGAACAATATAACATAAACTTAAAAAATTACAGTAATTTTAGAAAATATATTTAATTTAATAGTAGAAAAATCGACTTAGAAGTAACTTTTGTATTAAATAAATGATGGAGCCATATATAGATAAAAAACGATCTTTAGGAGGCATGTTATTAAGTACCATGAGAAGTAATTTGTTGCTTTTTTAAGATAAAAAGGTGCGTGTCGAAGATATGTGACGATATTAAAGATATATATGATGGAGCTTCAACTAGTATTAAAGTAGTTAGGGAGTGATCCTAGAGTTTTCAATTACCATATGCCTTAGTTATTGATCAACATTGAGTTTATAACCTTTTAATTTCCTATGAAGATGCTTATAAAAGTTATTCAAAGTGAGGGGCTTTGGTGTGTTTTTTACACAGGTGATAGTTTTACTTGGTGAGACATTGATGTAATGGTGGGTAGACTTTGGGTGTAAGGATGGGTACGACTATTTTTTATGGTGTATACGAATAGAAATGAAGATATTGGAAGTTGTTTGGAGTTTGAAAGTATTTAAAAAGGCAACCTTCCAAAGGTGTCCGAGAGCTTTCAAGTGGGAGTTGGAATTTAGATCATGGCTAAAAGTGTGGTTTATGGGATTTTTTTTTTTGGGGAAAGTTTAATGGGTTGAGAGCTTTAATCGAGTATGGCTTGTTTAGGAGGTGCTAGAGTATTAGAGATAAGGATTTGCAGTGCTTGAGGGTTACTTAAATGGGTAGAGGTTGATGAAGAATGGATAAATTTTTGAGCTGTTTGGAAAGATCTTACAAAGGATGGATTTTCCTTTGCATGGAGTGGAGGTAGTTTGGAGAGCAACTCCAACTCAAGAGAGGTAGTTATGGATATACCATAAATAGTAATAAAATGAAGACAAATAAAAAACAAAACAAAGATAATAATTTAACTCTCACCAAAGTGTTGGGTTGAAGAAGACCGCCTAGTTAATTATCAAGAATCAGCTACCATGCTTCTTCAAAGAAGAAAATATTCTTTCGAATACCGAAGTCATTCATGAATTCTCCTTATTTTACAACCATCCTTACATAATATAGCCAAGGCATGATTAAATAATCAAAAGACACTTAAATGAAGTCTTATTTTCAAAGTGACCTTTAGAATTTCAAGGGGGAACAAAAAATTTTAATGCAGCTCATAACTTCATTTGGCATGACGGAGAAGCCATAAATGCTGCTCAAAATTATGAGGGTGATAATTAAACAATGATGACGAGGGTGATAATTAAACAATCTTTTATTAAGTCCACATACTATTTTCTTTCTTGTGACAGGTTAATTACTTAGCTCACTTAAATCATGAAGAAACAAGACTAGCCGTTGCTTGTGAAAGGGCATTTCTGGAGACTTTAGATGGCTCCTGTCGAACTCCAATTGCAGGCTATGCGCATAGAGATGAAGATGGAAACTGTCTTTTTAGAGGTTTGGTGGCTTCTCCTGATGGAACTCGAGGTAAATGCTGTTTGGCTACTTGCATTTGAAATTTATGTTTTAGAAAATACTAATTATGCTTTTGCTTCTTTTTAAGTGTGTAAAATGCAATTATAACTTTTATGGAATTTTTAAGGTATCTTTATATTTTAAAATCTATTTTGATTTTTAACTACATCCAACTAACTAACTAATGGAATTTAGTTATGGATTTACATCCATACCACTTTATTTCATGCTATTTATATATCTAACACTCAAAACATTAATATTATATGCCTACCACCTATATACAACTTTAATATCAAATATAACACTTCTATAATTCATTTCTCTACCATTCGTACTATCCTATAAACTTTAATATTTCATTTCATGCACCCAAATTTGCTCTATGAGTGGTAGGCATGTAATATTAATGTTTTGAATGTTAGATATGTAAATAACCTGAAATAAAATGGTATGGATGTAAATCTCCCATTTAAAAAAGTCATATTTTTTTCAAAACGAATACTCTAAACTTCAAGCAACCGAATTAGCCCTCAAACCTATTGCAAATCTATACTTTGAATTTGTTTTATTGCTTAAATTTTATCTGATAAATCATTAAATTTTGGTGTTAATAGTTCTGGAGACTTCAAGGAAAGGGCTTTATGCTCTTGATGACATGGTTGCCATGGGTGAAGATGCTGGAAAGGAATTGATCTCCAAGGCTGGGTCAGGCTTCTTTGATTGGTAATGGCTTTTCAGAGCTGAATTGGCAGTTCTTCGGCTTTGCTTTCAAAAATATCCATTCAAGGATATTTTTTATTAGGCTCTAAGGAGTTGAGATTTATTGTTGTAACTGTTCTATTGTGTTTCTAATGTTTTTAGCTTTTTTTTTTTTTTATAAATTTTGTTTCAAGCCCAGATCCTAACTATGTATGATTCTGTGAAAATATGTTGCATCTTGTTTGAAGCTTTAACTGTATCGGCGGTTCTGTGCTAAATAACTTCAGTTGAGATTTATTTGTTACTTGCCACTGAGCCAAATTGCTGATCAGAAGCTTTATCATTGATCTCAACCCTTAGTTTAGCTTAAAGGGTGATTGATGGGAGAGCACGGTTGGAAACCCCTCTTCTACAGTCTCGCCTCTTCAGTGGGGCAAAGTAAGTGTGGACAGATGCCGGTGGGTGGCCTCGCTAGATTCCGCCGAGGGATTAGTTATGTCGTCAAGCATTCCCTTTGGAGTGACAGCGGGTTAATATCCCGTTAAAAAAAAAATCATAAATTTTTGCAAAAAACCCATATATATTTGGTTATATAAAAACTATCTTTAAAATTGAATAGATCAAGGTGAGTCATATACACACGTGCACTCTTATTTGTGTGGTAAGTGGGGTTGTTAACGATTTGATTTGATCTGTGTTAGAAGTAGATTGATATCATATCGATGGAGATTAGTTATGTGTTTGTAATAGCTGCAGTGTTTTATAAAATGATTGTGAAGTTACTATAGAGAAAGCAATTTTATTATTATAACTTTAGAAATTAGCTTTCATCACAAGATTTTTAAAAACATCTAGAAAATAAAAACCAAATAAAATTTTAATTGATGTTTTAAAAACAAAGCAGCCAAAAAAATTATTGCAAACAAACTCCAAGTTGGCTCAAATTAGATTGTGAATCAATTTTTATTGATTTCAGTAGGCTCAGGTCAAATTGATTTGATTTTGAGTGGGCTTGTTTCAAATTGAGTTGGCTTGATGTATACTTAATTTATTTTAATTTTAAGTTGATTCAAAATATTATTAAAATATTATAATATAACTGATATACTATGAAAAATAAATTTATAATTTTAATTAAACGATGAAAATAAACCAAAAATGATGGAAATTGAGATATTTTTTATTTCTAAATTACAATCTTTAAATCAATCTCTAATAATCAATACACAATGAATTAGAGTTCTACTTATATAAATTGCTTTCTATTACATAAATTTTGCAGCTAAATATTAAGATATTAGTTTTAAATTATAATGCCCTTATAAAATTGAGATGATCAGTGGAACTGTGAGATGAAAATTTTTAAAAATAAACTGCTATAGTACAAATAAATTATGTCATGTTCAAATTCCAATCTATACTAAACGAAACCAATGAATATTGCCTCCAAAAAAGGCAGCAAAAGCCAACAAAAAATCCGGCAGCAAGGGAGTGAGGCAACAACCAATAAGATGCAGCGCAGCTCTCCGCACTTTGAGACCCCCCAAAAGACGAAATTATTACGTGCGGTCATCGGATACCGTCCAGAGGCCAATCAAGATGCACCACATCATCAATATGCTGTGTATCAGATGACATGATGCATCTTGATTGATCTCCAGACAATTCGGTGATCACACAGAATGATCTCTCCCTAAGAAAGCAGTTCAAAGAAGTGGAAGTTAGTTCCTGACAAATAGTAAAATAAAAAATAGAGATTATGGTTTCTTAGAATAGCTTTCTTATTACTTTTAAAAGCAATTTTTTAATTTTTATACTACAAAATTACTTTAAAAAGAATAAGAAATTTGTCCCAAACGAAACCTATATGTATACAAAAAAATTATATTTGAAAATTTGCGCCCAACTATGTAATATGGTTTGTAAGTTTTAATTGTCTCATGCTTTTATTATTAATTATTCATCTCAATCATAAGATAACTTTTAATTGAGCTAATCTATAGAGGTTAAGTACTTAGCTTATAAGCAATTTTTTATTTATGATTGAGAAAGATATATCACTATTAACTTAAAAAGAGATGGTGAGGTGAATGATGACAAAATCAATCAAGATTCTATGATTATTTCATCCTAGGATATTTTGGACCCTATTCTACTTTATTAGCGAAAGTAGTCAAACCAATATGAAGCATAGTAAAATATGAGACTTATGATTCTACCTTATAATAGGACAGCTCGTGCAATCATCTCGAGAAGCATGCCACCACACTAAAAGCACCCAAGTGCATCAAGTATAATAAATTGAAAAGTGTATGAATACAATGAGCAAATGCATCGAAATTGCATCATGTAGGCACATAAGAAAATGCAAGAACATATTGGAAAATGTGCCAATACTATATAAATGCAACAAAAAACATACAAGTGCATCAAAAGATTTGTCAGTACATTGAAAGAATGCAAGTATAGTATGTAAATATATTGAAAAACATGCAATTGTATCATATAAGCAAATTAAAAAGTGCTCATGCATATTAAAAAAAAGTGTACAAATATATTGAACAAATGCAACGAAAAATATTTGTGTTCATCTAAAAGCATGCAAGTGCATTATGAATACAACAACAACAACAACAACATCAAGCCTTTATCCCACTACGTGGGGTCGGCTACATGAATCCTTTTTCTCCATTGTGTCAGATTAAAAGTCAAATTCTCTATTGCAAGTGCATTATGAATATGCAAAAAAAAAAAGCAAAAACATGCTGAAAAACTTGCACGACACATCCCATTGTCAAAATCAATTTTCGATCTTATGTGCTACGACTAACATGCTTAATGTTCAAGCATAAAATTTGATAATATTGAGCGAGCTATCAATATGTTGAACAAAAATTTTCTTATTTTAAAAATTATGCAATTACTCTTCAAACTTCAAAGTCTACCACTATCTTAAAAATTTTAAAATGCCTTTTGAAAAATCAAATACACTTGCATGTGCTCTGACAAAATATATCAACTCCTAAATTTGAGATTAGAGAATATTGGACTAGTTAAAATAAAGAATAAGTCTAAATTATATTCATCTCGAAACATACAAGTGCATAGTGCATATGCATCAAAAGACATAAAATACATTGTGTAAATGCACACAAAATATGCATGTCCTTTAAATCATGTACGAGTCCTTAAAATCAAGTTTTTCTGCATGCGCTTCAACAAGTGTACTACACTTTCAAACTTCTTTGAGAATATCGCGTGGAAGATAAATCAAATGAACTTAGAACATAATTGATCATATGCAAATAAATTGGCGAAGTTGATATAGTCGGAAATAATAAAATGAAAAAGAGTTCCCAAATGACAAAAAATTCCATGAGCAATAAATCATAGGATGTACTTAATAGGGCATAAAATCTTTTGTCAACTAAGGCCAACTCAAATGAGTTCTCTTATACAAACATTCAACCTATGTCTACAAAGTTCTCTTGGATGAAGCAACCAATGGTTACCAACAAAGAGCCTCCGGTCAAATTGGGCATACTATTTATGTAGATAAAGACACAAAGTAGACTAAAGTCTATGACAACTGGATATAATGGAACAATATGATCATGATTGAGTTCACATCATCCTCTTACCATCCACTTTAAATTTATGGCGGTAAATTTCTCAATCTTAAATCAAATTTGATGCTAATATATGGTAAATACTTAGTTTCTAATGACTAGCTTTAATCACAAGTTTTTTCTAGTCACCACAAGGGTAATTAACTATACATAGGGGTTTGCTTCTATGAGAAATTTGAAATCGTATCATAAAATCATCATGAAATGCGGGCGAAATTGTTAGGTACCATCTTATCTGCAACATAAAAACCTCTTAGTAAGCCCGAGGCATAGATTTTCGGAGCCCACATCCAAGTAAACCTTAGAAAAGTTCACACTTAATTTTAAGGATATCAAACATATATTATTATATTAAATAATTTGTTATGATGTATATGTTACATGAGAAGCTTACAACCATTAAAGCTTGATGGACTTATTAAGAATCACTCCACAAAGGAGCTCAAGATGCTTAAAAGAATTCAACAAATGGAATAATAGCTCAAAGTCGTCAGTAAAGTCATAGATTATACTATATTTTCTTAATACATATATAAGAGGTTGACAGTTAAGCATGTTCATGAATAATACACTTATTTTTCAAATCTCACTTAATTTCGAATTGATTTGATCAACTTCATAAGGGAGGGAACTACGGCTTTTTGATTAATTTCCTAATATTTATAATCAAAACAAATAAAATTAATGCTGAA